CCCTACATACCACATCACACGTGTACGTTGGCGCATGCCTAGGTTATTCATGATAACATTGTCGAACATAAGAAACACCGAGAACTGTCTAAATGTCATGTCAGTGATGGAGTGGCTAAATTAATGACACCGAGAGGGGCTGTGTTCCGACAGGGAAGCGCTCTGAGCTTTTCATTGAGGAAAGCAGTATCAGCACCTTGTCCACGGTATCCTACCATTTATTAAAAGTGGGCAATGCAAAGCGCTGTACATACACACTTGTGTATAGGATGGTCAGACCTGCACATAAGAGACTAGTGGAGGGAAAGTCGGCACAGGAGGCAGTTTATAATTTCACAGGTTGAAGTGTTTTTAAAGTAAGAAGGAAAGGGCCAGCTGGTGTGGTTAAGGTAGCCGGATCCCACATGGCTGACCATGTGATTTGAGTCCTGCACCTGACAGCTTGAAAAACGTGCCGAGTGTGTGTGCATGCAAGCTCAAAATCCCAGAAGGAGAGAACTAGAGGAGGGACTGTGACATGGCTATGCCCCCTCGGGGGTGCTTTCTCACTGTCTCCGTCTCTGGTGATGGTACGCACCCTATAGTAAGTTTCTAAAAGACAATAATAATAAAGAAAAATTGGTAAGTTTCTTAGTGGTTACTTACTGCTTCTAGGAATAGCCCCTGAGCTCAGGAAGTAGGAGCTATTCAGTAACTTGAAATGTATTTAGATATCTAATTTTCTTAACAACCCTACAAGGTAGGCGCTGTTGTCAGCCCTATTTTATAGGCTAAGAAACTAAAGGTGAGAGGTGGCGTGTTCAGAGTCACTCTGGAGTGGCCAGGATGTTATTGTTAGCGTGTAGGTGACGTGCACTGTAAGTAGACAGAGGAGAGCCTGTGAGTAGTGACCAAAGGGACTTGATTTGTTTGCTTTTCACAGTGCTTTGGGTCTCCAGGGCCTTGAGCGGTGCATTCTTAGGAACCTAGAACCTTACATTCAGTTCTTTTTTCTAAGAGAGATTTTTGCTATAGGGCGTATGCACTCACCAGAGAGAGACAGAGACAGAAAGCGAGAAATCACCCCCCGGGGGGGGATGGCCACGTCACGGTCCCTTCTCCTCCATTCTCCTCTTGGGATCTTGGGCACACATGCACATGTGCCCTGCATGAGTTTTAAGCCACCGAGCCTGGAACTTGAACCACGGTCGACTACGTGTCCAGTGACGGGACCATTATGCCATCTGCTGGTTCACAGGCCAGTTCTTTCTATTACTGGTCGCTCGTGGCCTGAAACACTTGGTATGTCTCTGGGTTAACATTGATGATGATTTCTTGAAGTCTTGTAGATGATGTTCTCCAAGCTCTAAGGAAGAAGTCAAGCAAGAATTAAGGGGGCTGGAGAGGACCATTCTTCGCAGACGACAATGACAAGGGAAAGTTGGGCCCACAGTGCTCTGAGACAAGAGGGTCTTGTGAAAGGGAAGGATGACACCTGGAAGTGGGGGACAAGCTTCCAGGGGAGCAGCAGCTCCTCCGTCTGGGAGACCTCCCACCTGCACTTCAGGCAGTTACGGTACCACGAGACGTCGGGGCCACAGGAGGCGCTGAGCCGGCTCCGGGAGCTCTGTCGTCGGTGGCTGAGGCCAGAGGCGCGCACCAAGGCACAGATTTTGGAGCTGCTCGTGCTGGAGCAGTTTCTGCGCATCTTGCCTGGTGAGATCCGGACCTGGGTGCAGCTGCACCGCCCCGGCAGTGGCGAGGAGGCTGTGGCCCTGGTAGAGGAGCTGCAGAGGGACCTCAATGGACCAGCACTGAACGTGAGGAAGGCGGGGAGGGAGGGCTAGGGGTGGAGGGTGGGTCTGCGCTTTTCAGTAATGATTAGTAGTGTTCTAGCAGCCTACTGCTACCCACAGCAGGCTTGTGAGCCGTTCAGACCACGGGCTGTGCAGAGAAACTGGTTTGCAATTGAGGGCTTTGGGCCAGGGTCAGCACAGCAGCGGTGACTCTGCTTTGTCCCCAAGTGATGCCGGCTAATGCTGTGTTTAGGTCAGGGCCCTGGAGAGCGTGTTTATGAGTATCCCCTGGACAGTCATGCATGGGCTGTTTCTGTATGTCTGTCTAGAGCGACTGCGTGGGCCTGGAGTGTAAGGGCAGTGGCAGGGCAAGGGCACAGCTCATCGGATGTGCCAGGGCCACCCTGTGCACCCATGCTGGGGCCTGCGATCCAAGGGGCTGGGTGCACACGGCTCCTGAGAAGGCTTTCTCTCTCCGATCATTAGGGTGAGGTCCTAATGCCCTCTCGTGTCTGAGATTCGTTCTGTACGTCTGCACAGAATGGTTCTTTGTGAGAAGCGTGGATCACACCTTGGACTGCAGAGTGGTTTCAGTGGTGGGCTTGTTTGTTGGGATCATAAAAAGGAGTTTGGGCCGTGTGTTTCATTATAAATGACTAATCCATTCTTCTCACTTGAGACAAAGGAACCTGAGGCAGGCTCCACCGTAGTAGTGCATGCTGGGTGCTGCTGCTTGGGAGGCTGAGGCCACGTGGGGGGCCTGGGTTTGGTTCCTGGTGTCCCTTAAAAGCTAGGTGTGGTGGCTTGTGTCTGTAATCCCAGGTATGCAGGAGGGTCATGACACAGTGAGATCCTGTCCAAACACACACACACCCAACAGATGAAAAGAAAAGACGGGGAAAAAGGCAAAAAAAGGTTTTCAATGGGATCAGCAGATGACTGAGACTGCTGGTTACATTGCTAGATTCCCACATAGTTGACTGCTGTGTGAGTCCCAGACCCAGTGGCTTAAATCTCATGCTGGGCATGTGTGCGCTCATGCCCAAAATCCCAAGAGGAGAATGGAGAAGGGATTGTGGCGTGGCCATCCCCCCAGGGTGTGATTGCTCACTTTCTCTCTCTCTGTCTCTGTCTCTCTGGCGAGCACAGACGTCCTATAGCAAAAGCCTCTCTTAAAAAGAAAAAAGGTTCAGTGACTGCCCTGGGTCAGCAGGGTGGCAGCAGAGTCCCCAGTCTTGGTGCCTACATCAGGAGGCGATGGGAGAGGGGAGCTAAGGAGAAGAAATGTGATTAGTCCGAGTCTGACCTACAGCTAGGGCTGAAGCTAGTCTGTGCTCAGCTGCCGCCTGTGCCTTCTCCTTCCTGTCTTCGCCCCCCGCCAGGTCTGCTCGTTTGCCCCGTCTCTGTGGTCTCCCCTAGGACAGGCCACCAGTGTCGTGGGTGGGCAGAGGGCAGCTCTGTTCTTAGTGCAGGACTTCGCAGTCCTCATGGAGGCGGGTCTCTGATCTCCCAGTTATAATTGTGAGCAGAAAGAGATTCGTTGTTTTGCTTGTTCCAGGTTCCAGTCCTTGTTGAGGACCCGGATGCTCTCCAGGAGGGGCTGAGTGTTTCAGGAACAGTGCTTCCTCCTGCACCCACGGACAGCCACGTACCAGCTGGAAGTTGTCCAAACCCTCTTGCTGACCCAGTGGTGTTCAGAGTCCAAGAGCTTCGACATGGTACTGACTCAGTGGCCCTGGCTTAGGACTTCTCCAGGACCCGGCGTGACCCCTCCCCTATCCCCAGACATTGCTCCCTCCCTGCCCTGCCTAGGAAGCCCCACAGTGCCAGCCTATTCCTGCTCCTGTCCCTTTGTTTTTCTCGGGTCCCCCTGCCTCTGTCCCTTGTTACTGCTACTTTCTGTGTTATTCCAACCCCGAACATGGAGAAGAGAAAGTCAGAGAGGATTTGCAGGTCACTTTAGAGCTCTCATCGGCTAGGTCTGAGAGTTCTAGCTCTTTCTGCATTCCTGATTTGTAGGAGCTGTCATACGTGGGGTGGTGGGCAAGAACACAGGAACCTCACATGCAGCTTTCCCTCCTGCAGATTCTCCTGCCCCGGAAGCCTCTGCCCTTTCCCAGGAGGAGAACCCAAGAAATCAATTAATGGCACTTATGCTCCTAACAGCCCAGCCCCAGGTAAGGTTTGCGTCTCTTTCCTTCCTATCTGTGCTACCCGACTGGGCAAAGTGCCCTCTCCCCCGGTCGGTTCCCTCCTCTCACTCCAGGTCCCTGCTAGACTGGGCGTGGGCTGTGTCTCCCCATGTCTCTGGTCCACCTCATGGCCTCTGGGGTGAAAGGCACCTTGCCGGAGGCGAGGGCCTCTGCCTGCTGATTTCATACACACCGTCGTTTCAGGAGCTGGTGATGTTCGAAGAGGTGTCAGTATGCTTCACTGCAGAGGAGTGGGCATGTCTGGGCCCCATTCAGAGGGCCTTGTACTGGGACGTGATGCTGGAGAATTACGGAAACGTGACCTCCCTGGGTATGTACGCTTCTTCCCCTGGTTGTTCCCTTCGCCCCCTTAGGCTTTGCTTGTTTTCTGGAGTATAAAAGAAGTATGTGCTTGCCCTTGGAAAACACAGAATAATAGAGAAAAGAAAACACTAACCTAGCCCCACAGTCTGGTTTTTTTTCTGTATGTTTGAATATCTTTTTATTTGTCCGAGCGTGTGTGTGTGTGTGTTTACACTTTTCTAGCTTTCTCCTCGCATACGTCAAACTCCCCAAGTATTATCTCATCGGTTACGTCATTTGTACCCATAACGTGTAGCCTTCCTTGTTTTGGGTAACTGTTGTAATAGTATCTCTCTCTGCCTGAGGACCATTTTTATTTCTCTTTATTCTTTAGTTACCAGACTTAAGTTTTCAAATTCTTTTTTTTTTTTTGGAGAGGTTTTCGCTATAGGGCGTGTGCGCTCGCCAGACAGACAGAGAGAGACAGAGAGACAGAAAGCGAGAAATCACCCCCCGGGGTGATGGTCACGCCGCAATCCCTTCTCCTCCATTCTCCTCTCGGGATCTTGGGCACGCACGCACACGCACTCGGCGTGAGTTTTAAGCCACCGGGTCCGGGACGCGAACTGCAGTCGACTACGTGGGAGTCCAGCGACATAGCCATTACGCTGGTTCGCTGAAGTTTTCTTTTTGTGTGTGATAATTTGTCATGTTTTGATATGGAGGTAATACTGGCCTCACAGAATGGGAAATGTTCCTGTGTCTGGTTTATTGGAAGAGTTTGTGTATAAGTGGTCTTAATTCTCTTTTTTTCAAAGAATTATTTTTCTTAACTTTATTTTTCCATTTATTTATTTACTTTAATTTGACCAGAGAGTGACTGAGTGAGTGAATGAGTGAGAGAGAGAGAGAAAGTGAGAAAGCAAGCTGCCAGGTCCGGAACTGGAACTGTGGTCAGCCACATGGGAGTCCAGTGCCTTAACTTCCATGCCACCTGCTGGCCCCCTTTGGCCTTTCTTTGAGGGTAATTTTTTTTTAAATTACTGATTTAATTTATTATCATTGGTTTATTCATCTGTTCTATTTAATCTTGAGTCTGCTTTACTAGTTTGTGCTTAAAATTTTCTCACTTCATTTAAGTTGTCCTAATTTATTGGCACAGAATCATTCATAGTATTCCCTATGAAGTGCTTATTAGTTCTTTAAGATCAATGATAATGCTCAGAGGGGGTGACCTAAGAGCTTAGCTTTTGGTTTTGTTTTGGGGGGCTTGCATGCACATATATCCAGAGTGTTTTTCAAGCCACTAGATTGGGAACTCAAACCTCTCAGTCAGCCTTGTAGGATCCAGCTGCCTCAACCTCTGTGTCTGCTAGCCCCTAGAGCTTAGCTGGTACAGGGCATGTAGCAAGTTGGGAAGAGGAAGAACAGTTCAGGAAGAGAAGAGGACATAGACAGTGATAGAGAAACACGGAAAAAAGCATGAAATATTTGGCAGCTGCAAAATGGGAGATTTTATCTTCTCTTACCTTTTGTGTTTAATAAGAAGTGTAACACAGACCAGATGTTTTGTGAAATGAACTTTAACATTTCTGTTGCTCAGTTTTAAAAGGAGTAAGAGGAAGTGGCCAGCAGGTGACATGGTGGCGAAGGGCGCTGGACTCCCACATGGCTGAGCACAGTTCAAGTCCCAGACCTGGTGGTTTGCTTTCTCACTTTCCCTCTCTCTCTGCCCCACTCTGGTCAAATTGAACTAAATAAGTAAATAAATAAATGAAGTTAAATGAAATCATTCTTTAAAACAAAAGGAATAAGAGGAGGTAATATATGAGTTCTATAAATTAAATAGATTTAAAATTTTTCAACACTTCTATTGGATTGTTGGAAAAATAATGATGCATTTTACATAGAAAAACAGAAAGATACATCATGGTTTTTCTTTCTTTCTTTCTTTCTTTCTTTCTTTCTTTCTTTCTTTCTTCTTTTGCTATAGGGCATGTGTGCTTGTCTGGAGAGAGAGAGACAGAAAGTGAGAAATCATCGCGCACCACCCCCAACCCCAGGGGGAATGGCCATACTACAATCCCTTCTCCATTCTCTCAGGATTTTGGACACTCACACACATGTGCCCAGCGTAGTTTTTAAACCACCAGGTCCACGACTCGAACTGTGATCGATTATGTGGGACTCCAGCATCATAATACGTTATCTGTTGGTCCCTACATCACGATTTTTCTGATAGCCTGATATTCATGATAGAGCACATGTGTACACACATGAGAGAAAAAGAGAGATCAGTACCCTCCACAGGGTCTGGTCATGCTGCGATCTCTGTCCTTCAGTCTTCGAGTTCAGTGGCTCTTGGGCACTTGTACACATCATCAGCATTTTTCAGGCCAGCAGGGCCAGGGATTTGAACTATGGTTATCTTGTGAGATCTAGCTTCTCTCGAGCAGTGCATTATCACGTTGCCATGAGCCAGCTTGTAAGTCGATTTTTAATAGATGTTTTTCCCTGTAGATTACTTTCAACTAATTAAAAAGTATTTATGCACTTTTCAGAAATTAAAAATGGCCTCTCAAGAGGCACTAGGTGTATTCCCCTTCCTTTCATGGTTTCTCCTTCCCAATGTGAACAGGACAGTTCTTTTTAAGCCAAATGGTTCTTCTTGTTTCCTCCAGCTTCCTAAGCCTCAGGTCTGAAGCACGGAGTAATACCCAGTGTTCTCTGTCTGTTTCTTCTATACATCTGTTTTCTCATTGGTATTATTTCATCTTGTTTCTCATTTGTTTGTATTTTCCCATCAGCTTCCTGAAAACAAAAGCGCTTAGAAGTGTGCCAGATGAGTTCTTTATTAGTCCATTTACAGCATCCTGTTACTATGCATTCTATTGTGTACCTTCATTTAATGAAGTGTATCTCCTTTTGTATGCTGAGTGTACCCAGCTAGGATGCTTTTAAGTCACTTTGAAGTCCAATTCTCACACACACAAGGGCGTGGTAACATTTGAATTTTTAATTCCTTTTACCAGAATGGGAGACCATGACTGAGAATGAGGAAGGGACATCGAAGTCAAGTCTTTCTCAAAGAGCAGACTCTCAGAAAGGGACACCAAAAAGACTTCAAGGAGGTGTTTTCCAAGTCGCTGGTTTTGAGGAAGAGTGTGAATGGCAAGTTTCGGGAAGTCAGTGGAGAAATGAAACC